GCCTTCTCCCTCTTCCTGAAAACTGCAGCTTTATGAATGCCTCTTCCTCCTCAGTTTGTTCTTTCCTTTGACTTACTAGTTCCCCAGTTCTCAAAACCAAAATAATTGACTTCTAGGTGAAACTGTTTTAATATTCTGCCACCATCCAACCACCAGTTGTCACACATGAAGATAGAACAAGCTTAAAGCATGCAAACCTCAGGAATGTTTGTTGTCTAATCAAAGCTGAGATTTTGCTCACAAGCTCCTTGCCGCTGACAGCAAAAGTTCTGTACACATTTACATTGCTCATCTTAAAAAAAAAATAATAAATAGAATGACCCAAGCACACTCCAGCAAAAGCAGAAAACTGAATCACTGACACACAGAGAAATGACTTTTACATGGTATTTCCAAGCCTAGATCATATAGGTAGATGAATATAAGCCTTTATGTAATTTAGAACTGGAATTCCACAACCAGCACTAACAGAGAAACAGGCAAGATCAGGGTATTAACTTTGTAAATGGAGCCAGGGAGATGTAAGGTAGCAGGATCAGTTCATGAACAGCAATAACTTGGCACTCACGTAGAAGCTGGTCCTAGCATCCAAACTGATGAGAAATGAACCATTTCCCTCTCCTCAGAGTAACCTTGGAACTGTATCAAACCTCTTTCATCATCTTGTCTCTAGCTCTTGTTCTTTGTGGACAACTATTTTTTTCTTTATATTTGTAGTTAAAAAAGAACCCAAAAATGCCAGGATGCTGTAATATTTTGTGAATACATAGCAAACCTAGTTGTTAATTTTCTTTATCCTGGCATGTAAGTCTGGAGGGGGTGTCCAGAAACATGAAGCTGAATTTTAGTTTATTGAAGCATTCACTGTAGGCAGCGTAGGCTGGTACTTACACGTTGCCAGTGATCTCAGAATAAAGAGATGGAGGAGGAAAGTGCAAATTAGAATAAATTTCTCCAGAACAAGTAATTTCCTGGTTTTCATGACTACTGATGACCACTAAGTTTTAAGAGTTGGCTTAATATGCCCTGAAAGTACAAAATTGTTAGTTATAAAATGAGCTAATACGCAGACAGGTGTAATGTGAACTCAGGGTCAAGGTTTGCTTGAGATTAAGTGTTCCAGTGTCTACAAAGACAAAGCCATCTCTAAAACAGTGCTTAGCTTCACTGAGACTACTAAATTATACTATAAATTATTTTTCCCCCATAATCCTTGTTCCTTACACCAAATTCATCCTTGACTGCACAATTCCTTGTGTAATTCAGGCTTCAGAAATTAAGTGAAACAGCTAAGTGTAACATATTCCCCAAAATACATTCTTTTGCAGAAAAAGAGCTGTTTATAATTCAACATTCTCACTTCAAATTTTTACCCCTAATGTCACAAAAGCCTTCTATTCTTTGTCAAAGATGTTTTAATTTCAATTGTTTCTACTAAATGGAATCAACAATTTTGGTTATTTCAAACAAAGCATGACTTTTCTTTCACCTTGAAGGGGAAATGGGGGAAGTTTATGTACAAAAAGCTCTCACATCATTTGAGTGCTCCCAACTTGCTCTCACCTTAAAAGAGGAATGGAAGATGATGACAGAACATTGTTCTTGTAAGACTCTAAAAAATATTCTCTAAATTAAAATGCAATAGTATAAACCTTTTAGCATTTTTTTGTTCCATAACTTACTTAGAATTAAATCATTACTACATAGACAGTATTGGAATTGAGTTTAAGGCATACGTGTATATAACCTCTTGCCGTTTAGGAATGATTGGGAGCACTGTACAGCCCAGATCCGGTTATAATGTGAAGATACCTGCTTGCTTTCTCAGAGGGTGGAAAATACGGTAGCAGAGCAAAAAAGCCTCACCTCTTGGCACACCACCTTACTGATCAGTCCTACAGCTCAATGAGCAAATACAGTTGCTTCTACTCCGTATGTTTCATTTCAGTGCAATTCAGTCAACAGCCATTTAAACATATATGGCAACATGTAGGATGACCAGCTCTGGCGCAGAGCTCTGCAGCCACACTGCGCGGATCCTCACCCAAGAGGATGGGACACCACTGGCCTGTCAAAGCTGCACTTTGTGGACACACTTCAGCACCCCTACGTCTACAGATTGCACAGCTTCTTCGCAGCTTTCCTCCCACCATTCCTCACTCGTCATTGCTTGTCATCTGTGAATGCTCACTAGCAGTTTACAAATTTTACACCCTTTCATTCTTTCTCAAGAGCAGTTGGCCTAAAAATGGCCTTTTTTAACTGAATATGCCTACCTCTTAAGTTTGGGTCTTAATTTGATTTCCTCCATCTTTGAGTAAGTACTCTGCATTTCTAGCTCTAACCTTTTTTTTCACAGTTCTTGAGCTGTGAGAGAAGGAAGTTACAGCCACCTCCTCCAACAAAGGAGCTGAGGACTAGAGACCTAGAGCTGTGGGATGCCCTTTGGTCCCTTACTTGGTGTATAGCCATACACATTCCATGCATTCACTGGCCAGCCCAGGCTGCTGCTAGTCCAAAGCAATGCATTTTCCTGAGAAGGAGAAAAAACTGGTGTTATTGTCACCCCTCTCTGCATTACTTGCAGAAAGGATTTCTGTGTTTACTCATCCAAGTGAAACTTAGCCTTACTTCTTTCTGGAAAATGTTTTAAGCAGAATTCAATCTGAAGAGGCACCAGAAAGGAGTCAGATTGTTAAGGAAATTTACTATGACAAATCTTAGTCCCAGTTCAACAGCTGGGTACTACTTAAAATAATCTCAGCAATAATTTAACTATCAAACACAGTCACAGCACTAAGAACCAAATCCAAATATAAAAGATGTTTTTCCACTAACCTATTAGCAAATATACAGTATGGGTTAAGACACCTTTACAAATTCTCTAAATTCAAATTAAATTATATTCTTCCCGTCTGTATTTTATTAGTAAAGCTTAAGTAGGAAGCATCCTTTTAAAATCCATGATGTTTAAAAGTTTTTCTTTCTCACTGAAAGAAGAGCTGAAAGAAGCAATCATCTCCCTTCTGGGAACTATTATAACACAGGGGAAGTTCAAATGTTGGTGGTGGATTTTTTTAAATTGGAGAAACAAGGTGTTTCCCCAAAAGACAATTAGTGCCAACATCTAATTCACAATAAATGCAGCGCTTTAGGCAAAACTATCTTAAGGCAAAGCTTGAAATTTTGCATCTCTTAGTCCCTCAAAATACCAAAGAGGAGAGAGACACAAATTTCTCTCAAAATCAAAAAGTGAGAAATCTAGCTACAACTTTAAATCTAGGAATTCCTAGAAGAAAGAGGATGATCTTTTAGTAAAGCTTTGGTTGAAAAAAGTAGCTTTATAATGGCTTAATAAACATGAACACTGAGAATATTTCTCTGCCCACCTAAGCAATCTCACATGCAACTTTTTATCTCAAAAATACTACGACCGATAAAAAAAAAAGGCAGTTAAACCTCAAGATGCTGTAAGACTGCAGTGAAAGATAATAATCTGTAATAATAGGTCACAGATCTCTGCTACAAATTTGCCACTACAACACACACAGCTTGTTCGCAACTGCAGCCAGAAATCCGGCTGTTTGAAGCTTTCTTCCCCTTTCTGCAATATAATCGTTTAAGTAAATTCTTCCTTTGTTTTGCTGGCATTCTACATGTCTCATGACAAATGTAAAAGCAGTAACGTCACAGTATGTTGTATTTGGACATTTATATTGACACAAAACTGAAGGAATTTAATCACAGTGCAGATGTAGTCCCAATAACTGCAATAAAGTTCTGTAATCAAGTACTTTGCACTTGTAACCAATTCTCAGTTAAAATTATTAGATATCACAGGTTTAAAATAGGTTTCTATATACAGTTTCTGCCAAAGAAGGCAAATTACAGAATCTCAATTGAATTATGGAGAAAATAAGCCTAGAGTTTGGCATAATTAAAACCAGCTAAAATATCAGTATAAAAAAGTATCACAACTTTGTATTGACAATGCATGATTAAACCCAACCGTGTGGGCAATGCAGAAATTGATGGAAATGTTCCTTTGTTTGTGTTTATTTTAATGCTATTAAGTGGCTTTCAATTAAAATTATTATTAGTAGCATCATGTCATAAATTACTTTGGACTTCACTGAAAATAAGTAATTTTAATCCTTGAATACTTTACCTTTTCAATTTCTATGTCCAAAGTCTGAGTAACTTATTCAGATGCATAAGGTCCTGCAGTAGCCACAGAACTCTGTAATTCAGTAGGCACAGAAAGCAGGCATGTATTGAATACAGGTATATACAACTTACGAAAGTTAAGACAGCTGGGAAACCAGCAAGCACTACCAGTTTCACAAAGCCTAAGTCTAATTTCCTTTCTTAAATCTGTCCAGGTTCTAATATGAAGATTTTTAATCATGCAAACACAACACCTTAAACTAACATGACATTCTTTAACACAAAAAAAGCCCCAAACAGAAAAAACCACATCTATTCCATCATACTGGACCTGAAGTTCACTTTTCTAACTAGCTGTTGGCTTAAGCTCCCTATGGTTGAGCGTGTTTAGATAAACTAAATACCCTAAAACCCGGCAAATGAAATCTAGGTCTTACTTTATGGAGCAGAAAGGTTAAACTTGCTTCAGAGGTAGGTACAAGTTGTCTCTGTCTTTCATGACAAGGTCTAAGATTTAAAGAAACTATGGCACATTTGTTTTGAGTTTGGTTTATTTTTTAGCTGGCTGTGAGATAATAACCCTTTTTTTAAGTTTCAAAAAAATGCAGGCTAAAATATTTTACAATTATGTGCTGCTTTAGAAAAAAAAAAAAAAAGAGAAAAAACCCAATCCTTGGTCAAACAGGAGATGAGAATATCTATCACCCACTCCACCTTCATCAGCCAAGTGATCCCTTCAGTATTCCTGAGCTAGGAAGCAAAAAAAATCTTTAGTTTTCTCACGTACTTAACTTTTGATAGTACACTAGATATTCACTATATTGACACTGTAATAAGAGCACTTACATCAGTACTTTATTATTGTTTATGTTACTGCGTATTCTCAGAAATGTACATACCACTGTAGGGGAGCATGTCATGGTAGTCTTCGTACACTCACCAACTCTAGGCATAGTGTGAAGAAACATTATTGGATTGTGTCAAATCATTGTTAAATATTAAATGGGAATGCTTATTCTTTTATTTCAATTATCAGGATAGTTTTTAACTATTGAGGAATACTTGCTTACAGAAATCATTCTTACAGTAGAAACCATTTTACTAAGTGCTCATTCCAAGTATTACTGTGGCAAATAAATGGAATCCTTGTTTCAAGCAGAAGGCTCCAAATTTGCTTTGGGACCAAGAATCACCTTGTACTAAGCAAGCTTTCTGCTTTTAGAAGTTACTTTAATTTCATGGTAAGAGTACTTTTGTCACATTGGACACTGAAATGCCACTCCCATAGGCATTGCTTTTCCCAGAGGAAGTCTGCTCTTTTAGCTGAGCAAGAGATGACAGGCAGGTCAATGTAAGTTAGTCTAGTCTCATTTTCTATTTATCTGGAAGTAATTCCAGTTGAAGTAGGTTGATAAGCAGATCAAGTTTTTCTAGTTTGAAAGGGTGAAGTATTGTAGTATCAGCATCCTTTACCAAGCAATACAAGCGCAGGTTACTTGTACACAATAGAAATATGACTGCTATCAACTTTTGCTGCCAGTGAGTGTTCTGTTAGACTATATCTGTAATCCTGGATGTGAAAGTTTCTAATGTGTCATTTATGGTACCCCATCACCTCCTCCATCCCCACTTTCAATCAATTCATGTTTCTTCTTTTGCCTTATTGCCAAGCATCGTGCAATGCCCAATGCACCTCCTTTTAAAAACCGTACAAAGTTGTCTCCCACCAGAGGACCTAGAGCAAAGAGGTTGGCTTCTTTAGTGCATTCATAAGTGTATGGATCAATCTCTATAGGATTCCCCTTGCATGTGATGGGCTGGTTAGAGTGATGACCTATGCTACGTCCTTGGTCCTTTAGAAAGAAAAGATTAGGGTGAGAACCTATCAGAACTAAGGCTATAGAAAATTTCAAAATTTTCTTCAGTCCAGAGGCACTCTGAAGAACACATTTCATTTCAGGCTTGAAGGAAAGTACGTTGTGTTCAGGGAAACTAGTGTAAGCAGAATGTTGATTAGAGTCCACAGTATGGGACTGAGTACACATCATATGATAGACCTTGTGGTATTCAGGGTAAAGCTTTTTAGGTAACTGTTTGAAAATTAGGCTTGTATCGGTAACTCTTCTACGAAACACATGGATTACTGGGATGTTGTTGTTATAGGCACAGAGTACTGCATCAGCTGCCGTAAGTCCAGCACCCACAATTAACACAGGGTCCGCCTTCCCACGTAACTTTCCTTTGCTGATTGCAGCTCCGAAGTCAGACATGGAATGGAGGACAAAAGGGAAGTCTTCTCCTTCAACCTGTAATCGGCCAGGAGAATCAAAGGTTCCTGTGGCAAGAGCCACATTCTCAGCAAAGAGGCAGAAGGGCACATGAGAACCATCTGTTGCTCGCTGATAACCTCTGACTTCCCAGTTTCTCTTAATAAGTGATTTCTGTCCATCGTCCATTTCCAAATGCTGTGTTGAAATATCTTCATTTCGTTGACTTCTATCTTCGTCATCCTTTCCTCGGTAAAGTCTGGACACTGATGTTATGTAAACATTGTCTCTGAAATTCTTTTGGAGGCCCATGACTTTAACATAGTGCTTATAATAACAAGCTATTTCCTCTGGCATTACTCGATCACTCTTTATATTTCTGAAACAAAATTGAATGGTTCCAGTTAATAGACAGACCTTACTGGTAATCTGAATATCATATATGACATGTCACAAAACAAGTCAAATTTATGAGGACTGAATCTGCTCAGTGTAACTGACACTGAGTTCAGTGTCTTTAAATGCATTTATTTGTTCTCTTCATTCCTGTTACACAACACAAGGTAGTGTTTTTTTATATAGTTGTAAATCTTTATACAATGTGAAGTGCTATGGCGATTAACAAATCAGGTATAACAAAGCTCTGCAGTATCGTGGTTGCTCCATATGGAAATGTTTTACAAAGACAGTTTAACATCACAACTATAAACAATACAATACTGGCTAAACCTGTACTCAGTGAGAATACATTTACTTAGGATATAATTAATTAAATATCATAGTTAAGTGCTAATTTTGAAACTCTACATTCAGTATCTCATTGGCACCAAGTATTTTTCACTATAGTTTGCAAAAGACCTCTCCTTTGCTAAGGTCACTAAGTATCAAATGAAGTAGTTCCGTATCACATGAATGAAAAAAGCAAGTATGGCTCAGTGTGTTACTGCAACAATACAAACAGGATTGTGATGCTGAAGTGTCCAGTAAAAAACGTTTTTGCACTGCAACCCTGGTATTGCATCTATGCTTTTCTCATGTTTATTGCATTCTCATTTATAGAAAAATAAGTCGACAGTATAATTATTTGGAACAGGTGCATGAATTTTTGATGCTTCTTTAGAAGTAAGCTCTAGGAAGAAGACAAAATTAACAACAGTGAACATCAGGATTGTCACACTTAATCTTATTTATAAGTACTCATTCTCATAGTTTAACAAGATGTAGCATATGTACCTTTAAATGCTCAGGTTACTACTCTGAAAACCCTTGTGAGGTATTTATTGAAGAGGATAACGTGACAGTGTGACACCTCCTACAAAGAAACTTAGGATACTACATGACTAAGAAATTTTCACTAGCATCAATTCTTTTAAATATGTTTAACTGTAGTATAACAGGTCAGCACTTCTGGTTTTAGCACTGTCAAAAACCATAAAATATAAACAAATTAGCTTCTGATAATAAGCATCTTATAGGATTTCAGTTAGTAAGGAGGTAAGATTACTTGGTTATCTAAGAAAATGATTAAAGAACAAAGGTACAGTTTCTTCACTGTAAGTGGTGTCCTGGAATGAGTAGCAGTCTGCTCTTAAAGACATATGCCTAAGTAATTCTACTTCTTTTCCCATACATGGTGCTAGAAAAATTTCTTTTATTTTTATAGAACAAAGTCAGAAAAATTAAAACTTTAGAAAAAGCTTACGTAGTGTTCATTTGCTGACCCAGACCTTTACAAACTGTATAAGCGAAGTGATTTTTCTTCTCACTTTTTTCAAGAAACTTACTACCAGAAAATGTTGTGAAATACTGAATTATGCTCTTAAATCTGTAATTCATACATAGCATTCAGATGCTGCAGCTTTGCCTGTGAAAGCAAATACTGAAACGTACAACTTCCTGAATTACAAGAAAGCCAGTGTGCATAGCCACTTGTTGCATCTGCGTTGAAAGAGAAACTTCCAATACTTCTGCAGATTTGAAATTCCTTCCTCCATCTTCCCTCAACTCTGACCAAAACTGCTTTCAGTAACAGTGCCTCATTGTGAACTGCTGCTAGCATGTATGCTTTCAGTGCACTCACAAGCAATTACTCTGCCTGACCATTGTCCAGTTTTTTTCCATCAAAGTACACACCACCAGAAGAATTTCCAGTGCCATGAGGCAATTTAATAAACAAAACAAGAAGCCCTCCTGTGAACAGTGAAGTCTGAATATTTTCAATTCTTCAAATAATGTTATCTGGATTTTTATAGCTGTTAGGATTCCCAAACAGATTAAGCAATATCCCTACCTGCGTTTGCTAGCTGCCCACTCCTTAAAGCTGAGGCCAGGCAATTCCATCCAGTCTCCAAAACTGATGGTTAGCATAGAGCCTTCCATGGACTGTGGTGAAAAAATGAGGATGCATGACCAGACACATTTCAAATGCTTATATTTATGTAAAAACCAAAAAACTTCTTCTCACAGTACTCATTTAGAGCAGTAAAATACCAGAACACAACAGAAGACCAGGGCATTACATGAAGCATTGATGAACTACTTTTGTGTTACAGTTAGATACTGTTTTAATAAGCAACTACATGAGCTAATAGAGAAGAAAGAAACAGAATGTGAAAGGGAAACTAAAAGCAAGTTATTTAAAATACAAAAGAGGAAGAAAAACATGAAACCAGAAGCACAAAAAGACATCAAGATTTTACATAAAATCATCCGGGAACAATGCAGATAAGAGAATAAAGGTTAGAGAAAATACTCTTTATTATATTTTTATAATTCAATAAATTTAAACTAGTAAAAAACACAGTAGTAATATAAGACTGCAGTTATATGCCCAAATAAAGGACATTTTTTTCCCTCCTTTCTTATTTCCACAACATATTTTGACTCTGGTAAACAAGCAGCTGAATGGCATTACCATCTAGAACAGAAAGTAAAAGACAGTAAAAAAAAAAAAAAAAGATGGTAAAAAAAAAATAAATTAGATAGTAAAAAAAAATTCCCAAACCACAAAGTTATCAAGTTACCTCAGAAGTGAAATGAAATTTTTACTCACATGCCAAGCCCCACCAGGTGGTCCTTTACCAAGCACTATATGGGGAATATAATTATGTTGTTCCAGCTTCCAGTGTAGAACAGGTGGGTAGTCGTACCCAAAGTCAGCATCAGGATGAAGCAACGTGTCAAAAAGCACAGCAACCGGATTTGAAGAGCGTCCCTCAAGCCCTTCAGACAGGTACTCTAAATCCTGGAGTATGGAAAAATGTGACATGTTCATGCAACTTTTACTCTTCATCATGCTGTTCTAGCATACAGAAATTCAACTGAAACAGAAAGCACAACTAATCCAAGCTGCATCTTAAGTAAAGTATTTAATGTAGAGATTCAATCAAAACACTTTTCAGGAATAACTGCTATTATTCAGCTCTTCTGTAACTGAATAATACATTTCACTCATTTAAAAATTACATATTAATAAACCAGTAACACTGGGGCAAGTCAGTATTTGAAATTCTTCTTAGAACAAAAAGTAATGGGCAAATCTCGAGATCAGAGCAACTTAGTAACATCTATATTTATATATACCAGACTGCTTTTAACAAAGAATTGCTAAAATTTTTAGGACCCCATTTTTGATAAAGCAAAATTGGAATCTAAAAACATTAAGTTTTTCACATCAAGTAGAAAAAGTGCCTTTGGCAGCTCTTAGATAGTTCCAACATTAACTTTACTATATTTTAAAATAATCGAGGTATTATAAGTATTATTTTTAAACATTAAAACTAGGAATATTTTACAAAGCAGGCAATGTTGAAAAAAATTTCTAGAACTTTGTAAAATGTTCACGTCAGTATCTATCAACGAGCCATGTTCTAAAAATTAATGATGCAATAGCAAATATCTGAAGAGGGAAAAGAAGAGATTTGAGGAAAGAATTGTCTGTAAGGCCAATTTTTGTTGACAAAGATGGGACAGTTTAGCTTCCTAATTAGGCAAAATATCAGGGGGTCAGGGGAAGATGAAGTACATTAAACGTCTGTAGCCAAAAGCTTAGGCAACTTACTCTCCTGCCAAACAAAAAAAGACACTGAGACTTAAGGTAAACATGACATGCAACCAGCACAGCACTGAAACAAACACACTCTCCAAAATCCAAAGCCAAACAACCCCCTACTTACTCCCTACAAACACAAATCCATGTTTGTATTTCAAATAAATTAGTCACAAAGGAGGCAATACAGTTAGTGTGACAGCACTGTCAGTATCCATCAGGAGTATAGTGACATGAGTAGAAAACAATGATGACATGACAAGTGGAGTGAAAAATACTGGAGAAGATTTAACTATTATCAAATCAGGCAAAAAACCGGATGTATACAAGGGTTACAAATATAGAGAAAAGCAACTGTGAGTACAACACAAACCCTGAAGGATGCATATCATTCCTAAAGGAAAAATACATTGTGTTTACAGAGGATAATATGCCCCTAACATTACTAAAATTGAAATCTTAATAAGAATTGGAGTATTTAGGAAGATTTTAACTTGAGCTTTGTGTATTTGAAGTATGTTATCAGCACATGTTCTCTGGTGACAGTGCCCAAAAACATCCCAGGACATGAAAGGTGGAATTCCTGCATCAGCCACTCACTGACCAAGTGATAACTTTAGACACTCCTGTCAAGCAGTACAAGCACAACAAAGGGCAGACTGCAAAACCAAAAAACACCGCAAAAACACCCACGTGTCACAGGTTTGTATCTAATAGTCATGAGTTGATTATATTTCAATTAACAGAGTAACAAAATACCTTATTAATGCATTACAAATGTGACTAGGTAAGTAGGCTGGTTCTTCATGATGGAATCTGCAGAATTTTTCTGGATAAGCCTTTCTTTTTATCTGCAGTTCTCTACACATAAATTGTTACAAGCCATCAAGGAAGGTATATACTGCTCTTTCTTTTACAAGTAGGAAAAAAAAAGAGGCCAAGAGATTTAAGTTTTTTGAGGCCACACAGTTACTGAGCTTTACTGTGGTCTAATTCTTTGAGGAGTGAGAATATTAAGCCCTTTCTTGTCTATGGCACTGCTTAATAAAGTTGCAAAAGCATTTTAAACAGGGTTATTAAAGAAAGCCCACTGTTTCATAACCCTGCTTGCAGTAGGAAAAGAGCCAGACAAGATGGCAACCAAAACTTACTTGATCAACAATGGAAAGATGTCGAGCTTCTTCTAATTTCGTATGTAGAATGGGGTTTGGATGTATAGCTTCAGGAGACAAATATGGCCTGTATCCAGAGAGCAGGTAAGAAAGACAAATTCCTGAAGGTCCATTTCCTATTAAAGAAAGAAGTTACACTTTAGTAAAAATTTCAATAATATACAGTTTGTAAGTCACAAAATATACAGCAACAAAATAACACTGAAGTAGTATAAAGCCATACTGTCCTGAGTCAAAGCATCTTATAAACCTGGCAGTAAAATAAAGCCTTACACAGGACTGTCTTCCAAGTAAACAGTAAAGTCTTTTCCAGATAACAAAGAACAACATCTGTATGACTGTTTATATCACAAAACAAAATGCATATAAAGGAGTTCCATAATTTAATATGTCAAATGCATTATTCTTGTGTGAAAATGGCCCAAAGGATAACGGTCTGCCTGTCAATCACAGTGATACCTGAATATTATGGCCATCTTACAATCTCTATTCCCACAGGCACTGTACAACACAGAGCAGAAAGACAATCCAGAGCATGTGCTCCTCAAGCCATAAAATAAAAGGAAGAAAGAAACAGGCAGAGAGCTGAAGACTGGAAGTCAGATGAGAAGTTACAGACATGGCAAAACAGCAACATAAAAGCTAAGTGAAGATACTCATGTAAGACCACATTCATTGTTCAGCGATAATATCAATTCAAACATTTTTATCCTCTTTGTAGCATTTTATAATCTGTACATATGCACTGATGCAACTTTATTAGACACCTATTTTTAAAATATTACTAAAGGTATAAAATGGATAGGACCAAAACATTATCATAAAGTAAACATCTCTATTTATCTAGTATTAAACAAAGTAGGGGACCATATTTATCACATGCAAATACAGAAGTAACACTCAGGTTGCAAAGTCAGATATCAAAAGCTACACAAAAGGAAAACCAGAAAAATATGTGCTATGATGGAGAATTTAAATATTTGACTATGTATTGTTAATTCCTTAGCTCCTCTTCCTCATTAACTGAATGAAAAGCACAGTGTTCTCCTAATGAGGCACTCATCAATACTTTGTCTTTGTTTGCCTTCTAGAGTGGCACTCAAGATATTTAGCACACACTATGCAAATTCTGGGCTTAAGTTACTAATTTATTCATGCTTTTTATAGCACTCATTGTTAGACATTAGCTCTTACTTCCAACCATTTCAGCTCTTGATGTCAAGAGTTCACATGCCATTTCCTGTTCCCCAGCACTTTCCGCATACACTATTTTCATCACCTGTTAAAAATCTCACTTCTTCAATGCCTGTCTCTTCTGCCTTTTCTGATTCCTCAGTTCCTAAATCCCCCATCAGTTTGCTGTGACCCTGTTCACTCTCTTCATAACTGGATCTCTTTTTCCTCCTCCACCAGCCTACACTCATCTGGTCCCAGTGGCAGAATATCCCATGGTTTATTACGATGCAGCGCACACAGACTGGTCACAGCCATGGCCTACAAGGAATCAAGCAGGCTCACTACAGATGAGTTCTTCAAAGGCTGAGTGTTAAGCTGCAAGAAATCTTCAGTAAGCATGTTTTCTGCAAAGGCCTAGAACCCAAGTGAGCATGTGAGAAGGCACAGTGGTTCCCATCAAACAATTTATTTTTTGTATCCAAACACAGAGCCAAAAATAAAAGCATTAGAGTACCTATGTACTGCAAAGGCTATAAAGCACTGCAAAAGACTGTCTAGGGAAGCTGTCGATTTCCATCATTGGATACTATAAGATAATTCAATCAAAAGTCTGTAATAGAAGGTTTAAATAGTGGTGATCCTGCCTACATTATTTCCCAAACCACTTCAAGTTCTATTTTGCTATATACAAAAAAGTCAGTAAAGAATCTAATGACTGAAAAAGGTCTTCCTTACTCTCACACTGTTCTGCCCTCCCACAAAAAGATCAGCTGGATTTCCTTCAGTTCAGGAATTCAAAGATTACAGCAGATGCAAACCCCTTACTTGCCACATGAGATGGAAGTGAGAGAACCTTAGCAATACAGTGAAACCATCCATAACAAAATCATATGAAATTACGAAAACACTGTAATCACAAAAATAGTCCATAAGCATTCCCATGACTAAATTCTTAACTGTTTTTAGAATTATAAACTTGTGCACAGTAAAGAATTTACTACATTTACTACTTTTTACAAGTGCATAGATAGCTTTTTTTTTTCCTACTGGGGTGTAAACTAAGTGAGTCCACAATGGAAAAATATGTTCCATATCCAAGCACATCATTCTAAAGATTATTCCTACTGGAGAAGACGAAAAAGAACCAAACAGATAAAAAGGCTGCAAAAACAAAGGCTGGCAAAAGACAAGGAAATTACTGAGGGTGGGATTATGTTAAGGTGAATTACTGTCACTGAGCTCCCCAGCAACTTCCCTGGGACCATCCAGAGAGGTTATCCAAACCCAGTTCCTATTCTTTGAGCAGACTGAGTCCAAGGTAAAGAAATTTCCTTGAGGATACACTGTCAAGAACACAAAAAATGAAGGTTCAGCTGCAAGGTGTGCAATTATGCACATGCAAAGGTTTTTTCAGAAAATCCTTTGTGAAAACAAAAAAAAATCGTTTTGAAATGAGAAATTTACAACCAATGAGTCTGTTCTTTATTTACACACAGTGCCTCCCATAACAGCTCTTACTGCAGTGGAGAGGTATTACTATTATACAAACTTTAGATATATAAGCAATATACCCTAAAACTCCATGGCCCTGTTCATTTAAGAAGCTTTTCCTGATCGACAGCAAACAACAGTGCAATCATCTTTACACTATGTGTCTAAATTTAAAGTAAAGAATCAACTTCAAGTATCATAACAGCTTATTATTTGGATGACAAGTGACAACATTGGGTTTACACAGTAATGACCAAAACTACCACAGAAGATGAAAGTGTATAGCATAGAACATGCTCCAAACTTAGAGCTCCAGCATGAAATTCTACAATTCCAACTCATTCAAAAGGAATGGACCTTTTCTTCCCAAGAGACAGGTACTGCACAGAAGTTATTAAACCACTACACACTGTGTCTGTACATGGGGGGCATGACAAGTCTGTTTTCATTCTCTTCTACAACATCATCAAATCATTTTTACATCCCTTTAAAAGCTCTTTGGTGAGACAGTGAATTAGTGACAACAGGCTGCCAATGGAGATCAGCTTGCGAAGTGGTTCAAATATATCTGTGAAAAAGCACTGGGGCAATGTGTTTGTTTTCCAAAAAGAGATAGTTAAGGCAGCTGTGTTTGGTGTCAGCACCTTGCAAGGCACTCTAGACAAAATAAGCGTTAAGCGTAGGTATTTGCATAAAGCAGATCTGCAAACCTAAACAGTGAAAACTGAGTCACTGACCATATGGCAAACCTATACTAAGGCTGACAAAATGCCAGGAAACCGCTGCTCTTCAACTGTGATGCAGAACTTATCAAGTGATTCACGTCTGTCACATCCACTTAAGTGCACTATTTTAAGATATCATGAGGAGAGCATCCAGAACAGGCATTGTACAAACATCAGTCTTTCAAAGTTGTGGAAGCTTACTGTGAACACGATTATGCTGAAAACATCAATCTCCATAATCTCTGCTTGTTTGCAGGTCCTTGCTCTAGTCCCAACAGCTCTGGACTAGATTACTGAAAACCTTCTTTACTCCAGATCTTTTCTTTATCCCCTCATGAAGTCATGGTGATAAGGAGCTAGTGACCAGCTGTTGCTGAAAAACCTTGGTCCAATTCACATCACCCTGGTACCCTGAGTTAAGCTGTGTACCTATGGAGTCTGCCCCCTCTGCTATCCTGCCATTCGGCAACATTTGACAAGTACTAGCCTTTAAGTGTTTAATCAAGACTACAATTTATTGTTTTAAATTGGCTGAGTTAACTCGGGTTCATTTTGGAAAAGATGGGGAAATATTTAGACATTAGTGATGGATAAAACAGAGAAAAAGGCAGTGAATGAGAGGGTAGCACCTGACTAACACACAGCACACACTTCGCATAGAGCTTTTTTTTCACTGTCCCATGACCCCGAATATTTCTAGTGGTGTACCATCAATAACCTCCACGCATCCTGAAGCAGACATATCATATTAATCAAACCCCATGTGATAAACACTAGAATCAATACAGTTACTTCAATTAAGACTCCTATATCTGCTGCCAAATAACGCAGCTCATCTTGTCAAAGCACAATTTGAATTCAAATATACTCCCGGAAGTCCCTTAATGTAATTTTATGCTACTGTTGTTAATCACAACAACTGTATTACTCTAACATCCTCACTGTAAGGATGCTCAGCATTACTTATTTAATGATAAATTATTTCATGCAGTAGGTCTATAAAGGCAATGGCAGCAACAGAGAATCTTTACAAAAGTGTAAAAAACTCACCGATTATTACTACAGGCAGAGTAAGGAGGGAGTCTCCCGGCAGAACAGTTTCTTCAATTAAAGGCATTCTTTTAATCTTCCTTCCAAGGCTGTCACCAAAATACTGGACAAAGGAATTCAAAAGCTGTCCTTCAGTTTCAGTGCTGCTGTACGTTCTAATTAAGAAGGACAGATGGGAGAAAACTAAAATGAAACAGTGAACTGTTGTCAGAACAGTGTCTTCAAAAATAAAGTTGCTTTTGATATTGTACTTTAAGAGCTATGAAACTGGCAAAATCGAGACCAAAACAAATATGTTTCACCCAATCCACAAAATTTTACTCTTCAGCCCAGCGTTTCCAACAGAAGTTTTTTAAAAAGTCCACTTTCTCTTACCAAGTCTGCAGAAGGATAACAAAAAGGCACAGATGGCTCTGCAGAAATGCGTATTTCTAATCACAGTTTATACAAAGCCAAAGTATAACCACAAGCATTATTTTGATCCCACACACAGTAGAACTCATTCCTCATTATCCTTATCAAAGCAGGAGATACACACCGCCGAGCCAATTAACAACATTAAGGCCAGCCAAAGCCTGAAGGAGCTGCTGAGGCATTCGTGTCCCTTCCCGCTGGCTGAGCCGCACACAGAACTTCGCCTCAACAAATTTCCATTCGGGGACAAGTAAGGCTGGTTAGAGCTGGCGGTGGTGTGACGATGGATCCTTGTGAAGCGATCCCTTTAAGCCCTAGATACAACCCATCCTACCGCTGTTAAAGGAAAAGCCTTTACAAAAGGGATTGCCATGCAGTCAGGTCAGCTCTTGCGCAGCAGACTGCTTTCATCCCTAGCCATTTTCCTAGATTTCTCAGTTCTTTCTCTGAGAAACATCTGCTTGGGCTTTTCTCATAGCTTTTTACCATCTAAATGTGCTTCTAGACTTTGAAGACTTGTTTTATACTGTTTTCTGTTTAATTATTTAGGAGTCTCTTCTGAATCCTTTCCAGGACACTGAAGAGGAACACACTATCAGTTTAGCTAGAATAAAAGGCAAATTAAAAATAGTTGTCTTCCCAATAAAGGCAATAAATTTTTAATTAAAAATACCCAAATCAACTGTTCTAAAAATTTTTCTCTTTGCAGTTTTAATTATTAACAATAACTAAAAGTACTCATCTATTTCCTAAGAATTTGCATATCTTAAAGCTATTCTACTGTTTCAGGCATTATTTTCTACACAGGACCAAAATTGTAACACACTGATCTAATTCCCATGGCCTTCAAGAAGCCACGTAGGCTCCAAACTGCCTCAACTCCCACGGCACTGAAGGTTCTGTTTCCTCAACGGGGAAGTCTGAAGTAAACTAGAGACAGAGCCAGACAGTAACAACAGCAATAGTACACTCTGTAATACATCTCTCTGATGGCCATGTCTTTGTTAAAAAGGGTGGGGAGCTATTCTAAGGTTGCCTTTATTTTGAAAAGTACTTGGTATCTGTATTTCCTGCAGTACAACAAAAAAAGTTTGCAAAGTGCTTGCTGTTTGAGTACAGCTGCACATTAGCTCTTGAAGACGCCTAACGCACAAACAGCATGAGTTAGATGTGGACGAAAAGACGAAAGTGAGGGGATATCTAATTATCATACTGATTTTTTCACTTCCGCTCTCAGACAGGCATAGGCAGAATATTTTATTTTCCATCCTTTGTTCAGAGTTAACTCAGGCAATAGTACCTGAAAGACGGGCTTAAAGGGAGCATGCATGTTTTAATGTGGTTTTATGATGCGTGCTGTGGTTATATGCACAATGCTGTAGGCTACAAAGGAACCTTTTAACAATAAAAATGTTGCTTCTGTGTAGCTCAGTGCATCACAAACCACCAAACTGGTAATTCTGCACAGAAACATCCTCATATAACCTCCAGTTTCTCAGCTATGGTGCAAAGGACTGTTGTCAGGAGCACGTTTTTCCTCTGCAAGAGCATCATAATCAGAACTCAGCACGATCTTAAGTTAGGGGCCAGTATCTTCCTAACCTCTAAACAACACTGAAAGCCACCAAGTACGAGAAGTTTTCGTCTTGATAAACTCACGGTGGGCAGCTTGCAGTGGTGAAGATTGGGTACAATTATCTATAGCTCTAGTCCTGCAGAGACGCAAGTGGGCACAAGATGAGTCACTTCCAACGCTAGCGCCCAGTTTATCTTATGCTGGTCACACGAAATAACCTCGAGAATTACATTCGGTCAATCACCTAGATTCTGAACATGTACAAACGTGAATCCTTTTCTATGTGAAAACACAGGAGATATATATATATAAAACAGCTTTTCTCCCGTTTGAAAAAGGTAATAATAATTATTTGGTAATACCTTCTAATTAAATGCAGGTTATGAGTGGTGCCTTTTTCAGATAGCAGTTTTGAACGATCCTAGAATGTCCTACGTACTTTTAGGGGAAAAAAAAAAAAAAAGAACAAAAAAGAAACGGACTGTGATGGGCGGTTAACAGAAAAACTCGTTATATAAACGGAATTTGAATTCGTCTCGAGCTGACACTTCGGGAAGCGCATTTCACGCCGTGGGATGGCTGGGTTTGTTCCCGGTGCCCGGGGGCGCGGTGCCATCAGGGCCGGGATCCCCGGCGGTGCCGCCGCGCACCGGGCGGCGCGGGCAGACCCCGGCCCGGCCGCGCCCGGCGCTGCCCAAGGTCACGGCGAGCCCGCCCGGGCCCCGCCGCCGCCGCCGCCGCCATCCCCTCCCGCGGCGGAGGGGCGGTACGGGGCCGGGCGGCGCAGCAGCCCCGCGGAGGCCGCGGCATCGCTCCCCGCCCGCCGCCGTGCCCGTCCCGCTCCCCTGCGACCGCCCCGACCCCACCGCCCGCTCCCCGCCGCCGCCTCACCTGAAGTGACCGGCCAGGGAGCAGCGGCAGCACCACACGGGCATGGGGAGCGCCGGCGGGGCCCAGCGATGAGGCTGCGGGGGGACAGCGCGCCCCGGCTCCCGCTCCTCCGCCTCCGGCAGCCGCCGCCACAGTGGGGCCCGCGCGGCGCCGTCCGCCCGCCCCGCTCACGGGCGGCAGCGGGTCACGGCGGGAGGAGGAGCCGCCAGCACCGGCACGGAGGGAGGGAGGGAGGGAGGGAGGGAGGAGGGACGAGCTGGTGAGGAGAGGAGAGGAGGGGATGTGAGAGCGCCGTTTCCTCCTCCCGGCGCCGCCGCGGCCCCGCGCGCCCGCTCCCCGCAGCAGGATGCGGGATGCGCCGCCTCCCCCCGGGAAGGCGGGGAGGGAGGGACGGGAGCCCCGGCCTGGCGCGGTGGAAGGAGGAATGGGAAGGCGGAGCAGCGGGGGGAGACACCTCCTTGGGCCAGGGAGGGAGCTGCGGTTCCTGAGGCGCCTTACACCGACCTGCGGTGGCCAGTTAAAAAATTTTGATGCACCTTTTGACTAACCTTTTGGCCTATTCGGGAACAAATCTTCATATATGATTAGCTGGTTGTTTTACATTGTGACTTCTTATAAATATTTTGCAGGCTTGCTTATTTGGGATAAAGCATTCCTTACCTAGTCTTTCCCTGGTCATACTGACTGCGGTCGGCAGGACCTCGGGAGGTCATCCAGTCCAGCCCCCTGCCCAGGAGTGTGGCCACTTGGGTTTTGAGTATCTCCAAGGCTGGAGACTTCGTGATCTCCCTGAGCAACCTGCTCAGGGGTTTGACCACCCTCGCAATGAAATCGTGTTTCCTTGTGTTCATGTGGAATTTCCTCTATTTCAGTTTGCACCTACCGACTCTTATCCTGTCCTAGAGAACCACTGAGTTCCCTCCCATCTTCTGATGGATTCTTCTTCATTCTCTCCCACCAAGTGTTTATGCACATGGATTAAGGTTCCTCTAATCCTTCTCTTCCACTGTCTGAAGTCCCAGCTTTCTCAGACTCAGCACATAGTAGTCTGCCTGCTATGTGAGAGCCCCATGTCTGGTTTTCTCTCTCAAAGTCTACCAAGCGAATGCCAATAAAATCTATTACTATTTCTTAAACAATTGCAGCCTTTCACTCAGAGTTAAACTTGACAATTAGAAATGTCTTTTCTATGAATCTATTCCATAAATCCACAATAGCAGGATCTTAAAAGGCTGTAGAGTTAGTGTCTGAAAGTGGCTGTTGGTAGCTGACAGTCCAGTTCATCTCAAGGTTGTTCATTGAACAGACTGTCATGTCTGTAGTCAGCAAATAATTACTGCTTAATAGCCCTGCTCTGGTTCCAGGAAAAAGGATGGCATTATATTTATTAGATATGTGCTCTATAAAAGCTTAAGGCAAAAGATCACAGAAGCTGATTTATACCACTGAGGAAATACAGAATATCGACATAAAATTTCTATTTTCAAAGAATGAAACAAATTCACTTAAACACACTGTTCTTAAAGTATACCCAGCACCAGGTCTAGTATGTCTTTAGACCAGAACTTACAACCTGAAGCTGCATTTAGCTTGCTCTGTTCCCCAAAATATTGCCTTCAATTCAGGAAACTACATGAAAAATTTGTATATTGATCAGATAACTCATGCTACTTGAATATTCATACTGTTTCATGCAAATTGTGTTCTCCTTTACATTGAGTTATGGAAAACTACAAAAGAAATTGAAATCTAATTTTTTTTTCCCCACATAATATCTTGCTCATAGTCAGGACAGCCTCCTGCCAGTACAAACCTCCTGGTCTGTGGACCTCACACTTCAAGGAAACTAGCTATAATCAAACAAAAGTTTTCCAGGTTCTACTAGCTATTTGGTGGCAGTGTCAGGTGACACTGACTTAAAAATAAATGTATTAAGGACATATTTGACTCAAAGTACCACCTTTGTTTCCTCCCATAAACAAATCTGGTTATCTGGAATATAACACAGAACCTCAGCTATCCTGGTACTATGATTAGTTTGTGCCCTTATCTTTATGGACATAAACTTGAGTAGAAAAACAACTGTACCTGTGTCCACACCTATGATCGGGACATGTTTTTCCCACAGCATGCTTTTATATTTAAAATTGAAAAGGTTATACTGGACCTTAAGTTTGTGATATAAAAAGGTAGTTTGGAAAAAATAATGAATGAAGCTTCTCTGGAAATGATATTCTGTGTAGATGTCCTGATATTCTGCATAGATGTCCTGATTTACAATTAAATGTATGTTTCTCCCAGAAGCAAAATTTTCTGTTCCTTTTAATTCTAGCCTGGGTTTTTCAAATGTCTTAGTTTTTTGGTTGGGATTTATTTCAAATCCATGTCTCACAATAAAATATATTTTCTTTAGATATACCTTTTTATTAGTTATTTAACACTAAGGAAGGAACAAATGGGAAGAGACTAAAACACACCAAGTGATAGCAAACATTTCCTCCCATATACAGGCACTAATCATATTTTAAAGGGATTTATATTTCCTGTTGGGTTCATTTCTGTTAACAAATTCAGACAGTTTTGGGCTGCTAGGGTATATTCCAAATCCTTACATTTTAAATCATGCTAGCCAAATAGCTAATTTAAATCTTTCTTTCACTAACACTCATTATAATAATTTAGGTAATAAAATTGTGCATCTGTTCAAGAATTATATATTTTTTTAAATTGAATTTTAAAATATTTCATCCCCAAATATTCAGCAAGTCATTATCTCAACCAATGATATTGGAAAATACATTAGACAGATAATTTTTGGTTAATCACAAATGTATTTTTAACAGTATTTGTAGCTTCTCCTGATCAACTGACTGATAAATAAATATGTTTAGTACCAGTATTTGATGCTGTATCATTCTTAAAAGTCCTGCATAAGGTGAGAGCATCAGAGCAGGGGACTGTTGTCTCAAGCCATGATACACAGCATGGAAAAAAAGGGCTTCATCCTCTCGGATAGAAGCGACATGGTCAGTGAGTAACTGAAGAACGACACCAGCTGTGTGCTGAATGCAACCTGCACCTTGTATTACAGCATGGGAAACAAGGAAAAGCACTACAGCATTCTGGTAAGATTCCCATGCCTCCATCCGCTGCAAACTAAGTAGAAAATAGACCTGCAGGGCTTCAAATGTCATCACAGGAATATAACTCTGTCTGGATGAATAATGCGGTATCCCAGTGCTGAGGCTTGCCCGGGACAGATGTCTCTTCAATAACAAACTTGTTCCCTGTAACAGTAAATGACTCTGAAAGATGTATGAACTGCAAGGCCTAGCAAGTGACAACATAGTGAAACATTTTCTGAGATGAGCAAACAAAGTTTGCCATAAGCCTATGGCACTCAGCCTGAAGCACGAGGTGCTGAAGAAAGGCCAGGAGAGATTAGGAAGGCTTGAGTTTATTTGCTCAATACTGTTAAGCAAGATGGCAACTAGGAAATCTAGCTGCAAAACAACTTTCTGCCTGGCCAAGTTAAAAAAAAATAAAATTGTAAAGATGGGGGATCTCAATCAAGGAGTTCTGTTGCAGCTCTAACAGAACTCGACAGAAAGTCGAGGTAATTGTGAAGAGGGACAAAGAAAAGACGATTATGAAACAAGCTTAAAGGAGCAGGCCTGTCAGGTTCCTGGGATCTTTTCATCGCCTTTGAATAAAATTCTTTTCAGCGGCTCTCTTCAGATGTTACTAAGTGCTAATGAAATAATACTTGCTTGGAGAATAAAGATGCAACAATTTCTGTTTCCAAGAATTATCTGAATGGTGTAGAAGTATTGACAGGAGGGTCCTTATGGGCCTTTTTCACTTCAGAGAGCAATTTGCCTGAATATCCCAAAAGATGTCTATGTAGTGTTCTGTAATGGTGGTGAAGAATTCTGCTGATGATTTAAGCCAGCAGGAAGCTAAACATGACACAGCCCCTTGCTCACTGCCCTGCAGTGGGGTGGGGAAGAGAACTGGAAAAGAGGTAAAGCTCATGAGCTAAGATAAATACAGTTTCATAGGACAGAAAAGGAGGAAAAATAACAATAATAATAACAACATGCAAAAGTGATGGACAGTGCAATTGCTCACCACCTGCTGTGCAGTGCCAAGCCGGTTCTGAATCAGTGGCCTGCCATCCCCTGGCCAAGTCCCCCAGTTTATATGCTGAACATGACACCATATGGTATGGGATATATCCATGTGGTCAGTTGGGGTCAGCTGTTCCAGCTGTGGCCCCCAGCTTCTTGGGCACCCCCAGCCTCCTTGCTGGTAGGGCAGTATGAGAAGCTGAAAAATCTTTGGTGTAGTGTAACTCCAGAACAACTAAAACATCAGGGTGTTGTCAACATTATTTTCATCCTAAATTCAGAACACAGCACTGTATCAGCTACTATGCAGTAGCATCCTAGCCAAAACCAGGACAATAGGATTTGAGAAGAATTATGCCGATGCCAGGTCAAAATTCACAGCCAGTGGTAAACTACATAGCTGTGATGCCATCATTAGCATGTGGAAGGAATCAGCATTCCCTAGCACCGAACTGCACTGCTTCAACAGATGTATAAAATCAAATTGGAGAAAACATGAAAAGTCGTGGCATGACAGATAAGTAGAGGCATAAATGATCCTTGGAAAACACATGGAAGGGTTTGACCACCTGAAGTTTGCTGATGATGTCAGTCTTCTAGACATTTAAGATAGAAGTTTGTAGATCTAACCTTCCATGGGAGCAGCTAATGTGTGCTGCTGATTCAATCATGATTGTCATTTGCAAGATAGAAGAAGAGAATTCTAAACAGACATTAGATGATGGTGAGGTAATTGGGATTTTGTGTTACCTGACTCTTGAAGAAATATGAGTGATGCCAAAACTTCTTGGAGTTCCTTGGCGGTCATGGAGTGTCAGGACATCAGTTTCCAGAAGCATTTGATAATAAGTACTAATTTGCTAGTATAGACACTTGTAAAAATCTCTTCAGTGATAAAAAAAAAATTCCAGTTACAAATACCTAGAGAGAAGGATGGACAAAAATGCAGCCAGAGCACTCCATTGTTATTATAATTCCAATTACAGACAGTACAGCTTAGTCAGT